CTATATGTACATGGTAACTGAGGACAGACAAGTCTAATGGATTTGATTCCCTTGTATCGTCTGGGGACTATAGCGTTGTGGCCTGGTACGTCCGCAATTGATGAGTCGAGTGAATTATTATAGAGATAATAATTCACTGAGCCAGAAGGAGTTCTGAAAGGTATGACTCACGGCCAGCTCGATATTGGGCCTAAAGGGTCACACACATATGGTAGGCATTGCGATGAGTAGAGGTTCGGATATGAGATATCCGCCAGAGCCCCTATCTTATTGGATATCCAATAAGCCTCTGAATTATTGGATCCCATGGACGAGATCCAATAAAAGCCCATGAGAGATTATTGGATAGAGATCCACTAATCTAAGAGGCTTAGGTAGTTGGATGAAGATCCAATACCCAACAGGGGAGGATCCATTAGGGTTAAGTTGACAGGGGACCTCTATAAATAGGAGGGATTCAGTGGTTCATAGGCTAGAGCCTTTGCTTGCCTCTTCTATTCTCCTCCCCCTCTCCACCTCAGAGCAGGCCTGGAGTTTTGAGGAGCATCGTCACAACCTTGCTATGTGGATCACCGTTAGAAAGGAGGGCACTTGACCTCCTTCACCCTCTCCTAGAGATTTGCAATGATTTAGGGATATACGATCTCCCTAGGTAACACAATCTATTCTATACGCAGTTTTAAGTTTTACAGATTTTTACGCACCAATCTTCGCACAACGACAAACACATATTTGGGAATTTGGGGATTTTGTTTTTATGTTCTTTCAATACGCATGTGATGTCGCTCCCAAGATTTCCCAACAGAACTTCCCCGAACTGGCCTCGAAGACACACTTCGAAGGGTTCAAGCGCATGTTGAACCGCTTGAGGGTCCAGAATGTCTCCGCCAGGTCAGCCAAATGTGTGCTTGGCGACTTGCTTTTCACGATCATGTCGTCAATGTACACCTCCATGTTTCTCCCGAGTTGTTGCTTGAACAACTCGTTGACTATTCTTTAGTATGTCGTCCCGACGTTTTTTAAGCTGAAAGGCATTACCTTGTAACAGTACACTCCTTTGTTGGTAATGAAGGCGATGTGCTCTTGGTCTTGCAGTGCCATCCGAATATGGTTATAGCCCGAGAATGCATCCATGAACGTGAAAAGTTCGTAACCTGCCGTGGCATCTACCAGTTGGTCTATCCTCGGGAGTGGATAGCAATCTTTGGGGCATGACCGATTGAGATCAGTGTAATCAACGCACATTCTCCAGCTTCCATTGTGTTTCTTGACAATGACTACATTTGACAACCATCGGGGGTATTTCATCTTGGTTATGAATCCAGCCTTTCTAAGGCGGCAGTCTACTTCATCACTGATTGCTTTTTGTCGGTCGGGGGCGAATCTCCTCGGCTTCTGCTTCACCGATCGAGCCTCGGGGTGGATGTTGAGGTGATGCTGAGTCACCCCCAGGTCGATTCTGGGCATTTCTTTCGGGGACCATGCGAATACATTAGCGTTTCGCTTCAGGAAGTCGATGAGTTAGAGCTGGTTCTCTTCGGGGAGCGTTGTTCCGACTTTCACAGTCATGTCAGGTCGATCCCTCTTTATGGGCACCTCAACGATTGGTTCGAGTGGCTCCAGGTGTATTGGCATCCTGGCTTCCTCGCGGGGATCCGGGGCTTGCTGGGGCAGTGACTTCTCCAGAAGAGTGACCATGGCAAGATAGCAATGCCTTGATTCTCTAGGATCGCTTCGGGATACCCCGACCCCTGCCGACGTTGGGAACTTGATGGCCTAGTGATAGGTGGAGACCACCGCTTTCAGTTTGTTGAGTGTCGGGCGGCTAAGGATGACGTTATAGGCCGAAGGAAGGTCGACTACCATGAAGGTAGTCATCACCGTCTTGGCTCTCGGTTCCTCCCTGATGGTAATGGGGAGGGTGGTGGTCCCGAGCGGGGAGATGGAATCCCCTATGAATTCGGTAAGTGTTGATGCCATGTGGGTGAGGTCCTCGTTGGTCAGGTCGAGCTTCCTGAAGGCATCGAAGCATAGCACGTCGGCAGAGCTACCTGTGTCGACCATCACCCTTTTTACCCGAGCATTGGTGATTCATATGGAGATTACCAAAGCATCGTCGTGGTGGGAGAATTCGACTTCTTCGGCCCCGAAGGTGATTTCGGGCTTGAGCTCGGATCTGGGATGTTTCTCGACTGTGCTGCGGGCGTAGGCCTTCCTTGCCGTTGTGTTGCTGCCACCAGCAACCGGTCCATTGGTGATGAGGTCGATTTGTCTCTCGACGGGACCCCTAGGGTGCGGCGATGCTCTCTCGGTTCCTTGAGGAAGCGCCCAAGGTGGCCTCTTCAGATTAACTCCTCAATTTGGTTCCGAAGGTCATGATAGTCTTCTGTATCATGGTCGTAGTCTCGGTGGAACTTGCAATATTTAGACTGATCTTTGTGAGTGGCTTTTAAAGGGTTGGTCTATCGCAAGAGCTCCTTCTCCCTGATTTGGAAGATCTCAGTGCGAGAAGTGTTCAACGGTAGAGGCGGGGGCCTCCGAAGCAGCCGCTCGGGTTGGTCGGGCCTCCTGTGGGGTTGCACCGTTGGTGGCCCCGAAGTCGCTCCTCAGGCCTGCTCTATCCTTGGCCTCTTGCCATCCTCGCGCCTATCTGCCATTAGGGCTTCGATGGTAATGTATTGGTTGGCGCACTGGAGCATCTCGGGGATGGTTACAAGTGGCTTCTCAATTAATGACCAGAAGAACCTCGAAGGTCTCAGGCCCATCAAGAACGCTTGCATGATCAGAGAAGGGTGAGCATCCGGGAATCCCCGAATTTCGGTGGCAAAACACGCCATGAATTGAGAGAGTGATTCGTCCTCGCATTGGGATAACACGAGTAGCGTGGCTATGGAGGGCCTGGGTCGCACACTTGCTAGGAAGTTTTGCTCGAATTCCCTTGCGAGTTGATCAAAAGAAGAGATTGAGGACGGCAGCAGTCAGCTGAACCACGCCCGTGCCAGTCCTCAGAAGGGAACGCCCGACACATCAGGGCATCGGAGGTGTCATAAAAGGTCATTTGAGCCCGAAACGCAGCGACGTGCTCTGTGGGGTTGGAGCAACTGTCATATGTTTCTAGTGTCGGGAGTCTGAAGTTGAGCAGCACAGGCTTGTCCTAGATCTCCTAAGCAAACGGGGATCCACCCGAGCTACTTTCGCCTGTCTTGCCACACGACTTCTGGAATTTGCACTGGAACTCGTCTAGGCGATAGTTGACCGTGGATAGTTGGACCCTGAATGGGTCGTCCGCCGAGTTCGATGATAAGGTGTCGGGCTCGGGGGTGATGGAGCGGCTCGGTGAGGCGCGGGTGCGCTTCATTCAGGCAGGTTTCTTGGGATGGCCATCAGCTCTTGGGCTTCTCCCGTCCTGACTTGTTCCCTAGTTGGTCGCTACGGTGTCAGGTCGGTCGGGGGACCTACTAACTGTACTATCTACGGGATGAGCAGGACGACTGTTTGCATCATTCCCGCTAAGGTCTGTACTTGCTTGGCCAGGGCGTGGAACGCTTCTGGCGAAACGGCCGAGGATCCTACAGCATATCCGGGGGGAGAGTCTCGGATCATTGAACATACGCCAGTAATGATCCAGCATCATAGCCGGGATGCCCCCATCCCGAGGGACGAGGAGGGGCTGATCACCGTGTCCGAAAGGGGGATGATCAACCGGTAATTCTCCCTCGGGGTGAGCTCTTGCGGGGTGCTCCCGAGACATCGGCCCTCCTTATAGCACCAAAAATATTGATAAACTAATGCACTATATCCGAGGAGTTAGCACGGCTTGGTCCACGCGTCGATGTCCGGAGCTCTCGCTTGTCGTGAGGAATATCTGAGCTGGCTAGGTCGAGGGTTGGGCCGTCAGCTTCGTCTTCCGAGAAGGCGTCCCTCGGCGGGGGGTTCCCGACTTTGGCCCCTCGGAGGTTAAGTTAATGATTGTTTTTCTCTCTCTCCCTGGCCAGATGTCGGTCAGGGGTTTTTATACTATAAGTCGAAGATCGATCATACTCAGATTTGGCGCGACGATCGATTCCCGAGTAGCGGGATAGTACCTTCGTGCAGCCGTCGCTCGGAGTGCACGAAACGATGTCTTGTGGTGCCGCCCCGAGCTTTCCGGGATGGGACTTACCAAGGGGCGCCTCTGGTACATGTTCCAGGTCGACGCGGGGAAGTACCCCCTTATGTTGACTTGGCAGGAGTGTGACGTGTCACGGGTTATAATTTGGTTGGGGTCCAAAATATGCTTTATAAACATGTAATCACATAGTATGATCTTTTGTTTGCTTTGGTCCACTCTGCATGTCGTCATTCATGTGTTCATCTCCATGGTCAGCAGGCAATTTTATATGCTGCGTTCCGGGAGTAATGTTCTTGCTGTAGCTGTGTGTGATCCCAACTGGGGGGACCGAAGAGATAGATGTACTGGTCGTATTTATTATATGGATTGTTTGATGATGATGTAAACTGCATCTGCAGGTGTGTCCCTGGACCACATGATTCCTGCATAAAGATCAAGAAAATTGTTCACTTTGTATGATCCACGAGTTTATTATTTATTGTTGATGCGGGCACATGTTCATCAAGATAAACAAGAGAGAGAAGCTGGAAGCTTCCTTCCTCTTTCCTCGGCATCACCCAAGGAAGTAGGAGTTCATGTAGAGATGTCATTCGACTCCCAGGAGGGCCAAACGAGATACATCAACGTGCACGCTTGATTCATTGTTTAGCTGATTCCTTCAGATGAAAAGAAAGGATAGACTGATGGGAGGAGTAATGAATGTTTCTTTGCTCCTACTTATGTTAGTATAGTTTTTATTGGAAGCTAAATTTGATTCTAAACAAAGCCTGTAAGTTTGATTATAATCAGACCCTCTCATTAGAACATATAACCCTGTGGTCTTCTGGTCAACGTGGGAAGGCACAGCAAGAAAGGACAGTTCTTGGTTTCCTACTTCCTTTCCTCTGCTGCCACCAAATCAGCACTGCGTGACCACATTCACAAAGATTGCCTCCACGTAGAAGGCAACAAAAGACGACTTCATACAGCTCAAACTAGGGAAGGCTCCTCTCAGATTCTTCATTTAAGCTGTTGCCGCTTGGGTATCGATCTTCCTTCCTCTGCTGCCTTCTTCCTTCCCCGTCAGTCTCCCCTGTCCTCGGGAGGGAGGAGGAAAGTGAGCCTTGATATAGACAGGTTGAGGATATTTTGGTGTAAGCAGGACGAGAACAGAGGAAAGATTGGGTTTTGAGAGCTGGAAAAGGCCGGAAAAGTGGTAAAGGTGCGGTCTTTTAGCAAGCCTGAGCGCCAAAAGTCGGCTTTTGAACATGGTCGGCGGGTGGGATCTCAACGACGCAGTGTCAGAGGAGGACAGCTGCTGCCTAATGGCCTCCGCCCCTGCTGAGGACGGCGGAGATGACGAGAAGGGGAAGCCCGCCGCAACCAGCTCGGGAGAGGTGGAGAACGACGACTCCGGCACCTCAGTTGTCGATGTCGAGGCGTTCGGCGGAAGCGCCGGGAAGGTCTTCGAATTCTCCGTCTCCGGCCGTCGCTCCGTCCAGAGCGGGCCCACCGTCGCGACTCACCAGTTCTTTCCTTTGGGTCACTCGGAGGGGGCTCGGGCGGGCGGGAGCTCGGCGCCGCCGTCACCTCGCGTGCACTGGACCGGAGATGGGTTCTGGCAGTCATCGGAACCAGTGGTTGCTGGAATGGCGACGGAGGCGCAGCCGCCGGTGAAGAAAAGCAGGCGAGGTCCGAGGTCGAGGAGTTCGCAGTACCGGGGGGTGACCTTCTACCGGAGGACCGGGCGGTGGGAATCCCATATATGGTCAGTTATGTCTCTCTCTCTCTCTTCTTCTTCTTTTTCCTCTCCAAACCTTAACGAAGATCGAATCTTGGAGTTGGATTCAATCATCTCAACATTGTCTCTCTTGTATCTGCAGGGATTGCGGAAAGCAAGTCTATTTGGGTATGTATGAACCAAGATTTCATCAAGTATCTGTTCCTGTGTTCAATTTTTGATTGTTTGCCATGGAAATATGTGTCTGTAGGTGGATTCGACACTGCTTGTTCAGCAGCAAGGTTAGTCTATCAGGTTCTGTAATTGATCGAGTTTACTATTACTTTCCATTTATTCTTTGTCTTCCAAGAGCTCTAACTTTCAGAGATTGTTCAAGCAGAGCATATGACAGAGCTGCAATCAAATTCCGTGGGGTGGATGCAGATATAAACTTTAGATTGGATGACTATGAGGAGGACATACAACAGGTAGGTGAAGGTAGATTGTTCTTAGGATCCTGTTTTGGTTTATCTTAGTGTGCAAGGGTGAATTAGAACTCAAGAAGTGTTTGTCAATGGCTTGATGCAGATGGGCAATCTTAACAAGGAGGATTTTATTCAAGTTCTCCGCCGCCAGAGTGGCAGCTTTCCTCGAGGAAGCTCAAAGTTCCGAGGAGTCATCTTGCGCAAATCTGGGAAGTGGGAGGCCAGAATGGGTCAGATTTTGGGTAAAAAGTATGTCTCTGCCATCTCCTTTCAGTGAATTCTCTGATTCAAGTTCTTAGATTTTGATAAAGGGTTTGTGTTGTTGAATGGTAATTCTTGATGTTAAACAGATATGTGTATCTGGGACTCTTCGATACCGAAATCGAAGCTGCTAGGTAATTCTAAGCTCTAAAATTTTTGGATCAAGCTTCTTAGGAAGCCAGAAAAAAACAGTAGTGTTGATTGTTCTTTACACTGGGATTCCAGAGCTTATGACACTGCTGCAATTAAGTGTAATGGGAAAGACGCGATAACCAACTTTGATCCTAAGCTCTACTCAAATGAGCTTGGTATTGAGAGTGAGAAACTATTCGCTTTACCATCTTCTGTTACTGATTAGGTTGTTCATCTAACAATACGAGTAAAATTCTATTTCAGCTGATCATGTTGAGCATAATCTCGATCTTAGCTTGGGGAGATCAGGCTCCAAAAGGATTAACCTCGAGATGATAGATGATGAGAGCTCCAGTGTCGTCGATCAGCAATTTCTCATAGGCTCCGAGTCAGAGAGGAAACACAACATGATATTAAAGGTATAATTCATATCAAAACCAAAATTTATGCTTCTAGCTTAACTATATCAAAATAATTGCAACTACTTTTAACTCGGCTTCTATGATTCGGGTGCTATTTCTTTCTAGTTTGATGACAATCTCAAGCTATCCAAAGGAAAAGACAGCAGAAGTTACTTTCCTCCTAGCAATGGCTTCAGTCAATTTCCATTCAGCTATGTACCACTTCAAACAACAACTGACATGTCCTCAGTGTTCCAGATCATCCAGCTGCAGTCTAATCCATCTTGTTATGATCAAGTTTGTGATCTCTTATAAAAATGACATCAAGTTTTTCTTGCTTGATACACTATGAACTCATTTAGGATTCTGCTTGTTTCCTGATTCAGCATCCTGGCAGCTGCGATAAATAAAGGATCTGCAAATGGCTTTCATTATCGAGTGGTGGACAGCGACTTGAGAGGCATTTAGATCGGGAACAAGGTGTGGAAATTAGCCATCTTTCTAATTGTTTGTCGCTGTTAATTTTGCAGCAACATCAGGATTCCCACCACAGATAGCAAAACTGGCAATTTCCGACATCCAGCACTAGAATAATGGATTCAAGTCTTATATCAGACCTGGTTAAAACAAAGCACCATTTGTGTCACAGGACCCAAACCGTAACACCTCAAATCTTGGAAGCTCCTTTTGTGCGTAAATGGCAGTGTTAAGGAGCTGAGCCTGTGGGAAGAACTAAAGTTGGAACAGGAAGTCGGCTTCTTATGAAGTGGATGGCTCTCTCTTCCTTTCATGTGTTTAAAATGTTCATACTAAGTCCTCATTCATCAGTCTGCTGTTGTATTTTGTTTCAAGAAAGCAATAATTTGAGCAAAATAGATTGCAGATTTGAAGTAAAATGACATTTATTCGCTCACTCGCTTGCAGTAAATGTGGACCATACTTGTGATAGCTCTAAATCTGCATGATTTGTGGTCCTTTGAATTAGAGAAAATGCATTTGTGATGAGAGGAATATTACTTTATGAACCAAATCAAGATGTGTAAGTTTGATGGGCAGAGAAAGAAAACCTTTTGTTGTTTATTATCTTGTGTATCATGCTAATTTGGCCTCACTAAGTATTTTCATTGATCTCCAAAAGTTTCTTGAAGCTAGGGTTTAGATGTGTTGCCTGATGGCCAAATCATTCAGGGTTCCAATCATCTGCACCAGATTATTAGAATGGTGTAAGTGGAGAGTCAATTTGCATCATCTGTCAGACTGATTCAAAGATGCTTTTTAAGCTGAAAATACATTCAAGGGAATAAGGCTTCTATAATCATAGATGTGTATCACACAGAATCATCTGTTGTACACTTTACAGTGAAAATGATGCTAACTTACAATTGGATTGTAGGAAAAAGACTACTCTTTTACAGACACTTGAACAGTGAAAAGAAAGTTCAGTCATGGATTGTTTACCCCCAATACAAGAAGAGAAACATGAGGTGAGAAGCTTCCATCATATTACATGACAATAGCTCTCTACTAAAAATAACATATAAAAATTACAATGAGATGATACCAAGACAATAGACCAAAACCTTTCAGGTCTCCAATTATAATATCAAAACAATTTGCAAAAGAATAATAAACAATAAAACTACCTAAGTAAAGTCCACCTTCATCCTTCATCTCAGTCCATTACCAGCATTCTTTCTGTAGGGCTGCTGCCTCACAAGATGCTTCAGAGCTTTTAAGCAGAGACACCGAGAACACGAACAAAGTTGCATGTATCAAGCAAAAAACTTTACATTCCAAACCAACTTTTTGGCATCTGGTCATTGATGAAGACAAACATGACCGTGTGGCTGATGGTAATTTCCTTGTCGATATGCTTACCTATATGCTTACAATATACAATATGAAGAAATATCCTACAAACATGTACAAATTTGATTTCACTGTCAACTAGAAGCCTGAAGAAAAGGATGTCAAGGCTTGCTTGCATTTGACTGTGCTGTGACCACTTTATGCAATTAACTACTTGTTTCGGAACAGGTTGGGTGGCAATAAAATGTTTATGATCACAAAATATCCCGAAGAGGCAGGGGTCTGGGTCTAACCCTCATGATTGTTTGATCACTATGCCGAATCCACTCAGACAATTTCCATGGTTTCTGCCATTTCCACTTGAACTGTAGCAACCACTGATGATGACTCCTTTTCCATCTCCAAAGCTTCCCTCCTTGACCTATTATTGCCAGTTTCTTTCCCGTCGACAAATGCCCAATTGGAACCATCTGCAATCAGCAAAGACCTCTTCCTTTAATGACTTGTAGATAAGGTTAATGATTTTATCAGCATAAGAGCAGGAGGCCAACCTTCAGTGGCTGATTGTCAAAAGTCACAGTCCCTTTACTCGGGCTATTAACAATACCGGCAGTGTACTTCAGTTGTTTCTGTGCTGGTACTGCTATCGGAGACAATGGAGCACTGGTATCATCAGCAGAGTGCTTCAATGAACCATTTGAGCTCACCTGGAAAATAATACACAGAACATTCATAGGATAAATTTCTAGACCTAGTCAGTGTTACGTGGACTCTCATGTCCACAGCAACAAATACATTCATATACACATATGCAAGTTGGGTATATTTTCAGTGCATCTCTATTTATCCAAGTCTTTTAGCAGATGTTAAGAGTAAATGAGCTGCTGGGCTATTCCAAAATGAATCTGAGCTACGATGATGGTGTTATTCTTTTAGACAAGTTTCTTAGTAATTTACATAGATTTTACTTGCTACAATGTTAAAACATGAATATCAACTATAATCCAACTAAAGTTTCTTTTCTCCTTCATTTCCAGTATCTCCTTGTCTATATCATGAGTGGAATCAAAATTTCCTGTCTACCTATCCAAGACATATTAATCTTCTCCTCTTCTGAAGTGATCACATAATAAACACTAGTAGTTAGATGACCAAAACAATGCAGGAAAAACATTTCAGTCTGAAGTCAATCATGCAGGGAGTGATTTCCCTCTCCAACAAACACACAAAATCATTTCTTGCGTTATTCATAGCCAATTGATGAAGGAAAGGTGCTTACATGAGCCAAATATAGAAACAAATCATTTATAGTACTCGAGAAAAAAAAATCATATGTATAGCCTCACCCTGACACATAATTAAACATGTTAACCCTTTTTATGTGTTTTTTAATCACTTTTACACTATTTAGGGCTATTGGCAACAAGAGACTTAACTTGGAGAACTCGATGCATTATTGTACACATTACAATGATAGATGGTGAATGTAACTTTTATCTCTGGATAGTGACATGCTAGAACACTATGTACCACAAGGGGCTCAAGAATTATATTTTAGACACACCTCCATAATCCAAGCCATTTTCAAATCCTCAGCCTCTTTGGCTATTCTATTTTCTTGATATCATTTCGCTTGTGTTGTTATTGTTGTTTGTATATGTGAAACCAATAAGTCGTACAAATCTTTGTACAGACATAGTTATTTAATTTCTAAATTAAGCTTACAGAGTTCTAGGTTCAAGCACCTTTGTAGAATAAATGACTCGGGATATTGGGCTTCCCTTATTTCATTATTGGTGAATTCATTACCAATCCGGCGCGGAGCGGGAAGTCAATAATTGAGTAAATATCGGCTCATTCATTACAGTTAGGGGAAAGGGTAGGAGAAGACAAGAAGTTTAGTTACCAACCGAAGAAGGAGATGGACCACTACTTGGTAGAGGATCCCCGATCCGTAGGGTCTCCTCCACCTCAAACACCAGTACAGATCCGATTCTACATATCTCACATTTACGACCTTAATAGGGACTAGGCTTCAGCCTTATGGATAAATGTTTAAGATTCCAAATTATGCTTGGCTGTTTATTTAAACCGCAAGAACTTGATCTTCAAGTTTACAACAAGATATGAGAATTTAAGTATGCTATATACTACCAAGGATAGAACATGAGCTTACTGGAGGTGATGCAGGTAATGCAACTGCAACAGCTTGCCCTCCCAAATTTTGTTGTTTCTCCATTTCTTTTCTTCGCGCTTCACTGAGTCGAAGAAGACTAACAAGTTCTTTCAGTTGGTCTTTTAGTTCTTTGATCTCAATTTCCTTCTCCCTCAACTTGCATCTGTTCCAAGTATATGAAATATTAAATTCATGAAAATAAAAAAAACATAATATGTAGCAATTTAGTCAAGATCAAGTAGGAAAATGTTCAAGATTTTGTCCGACAAACTAAATAGCTCTCTTCCATGTATGTGCTTGACATATTGTCTTGGCAGTTGTCAAATGTCAAAAGTTTTGAAGTGATCAAATAAATATCATTTATCATAAATAAGTAGCTTAAATTATACACTGTTCCCTAATTTAGATACAAACCAAATTTAAAATGAAAAAGACTTCAAGCAATATAAAATATAACTTTAGTCTCTTTTCCACTTTCTAGTCATTGCATATTTAAGAAATTGTGAACATGTATAAAAATGAGGGATTTTTAGACAAAAAAGTTGTTGACACTGTCAAATTTCTTTTAGCATTGTTTAGAAGAACAAACATCACGGAAAATATTAAAAAAAACATGGAATACAACCTTGCATCTGCTGCAACATTAAAAATGTAGTGAAGCAAGTTCTTTGCTTCTCCCATGGAACGCAATTGACTCCATCTTCCATGCCCTGCGAATGCACGTTCACGCTCCTCTGCCTCCGAAAGCTGGGAAGCCATTGTTACAAGAGTGTTTGATGATATGCTCACCATGTTTTCCAGTGATGTGATTCTTGCTAATCGTGCATTTGGGGACAAAGATGATACTCTGCAGAAGATTTGAAAAATAAATGGGACTTTGTAAAAAACTTCAGCTTGATTTTCACCAGTTTTGAAAGACATTACTTGTGTTCCTGATATCCACTAAATAAGATTGTATCCCAGCATCTTTAATCACAGGTTTGCTTAGATCAAAAGAATTATCATAGCAGAAATTCAGAATATAAGAATTTTTAAAGTATTAACTACCTGGAGTGTCCATTCTTTACTCTTGGTGGACTAGCACTGCTGTTTGATGAAGCTTCCTCTCGTTTCAGGAAGGCAAGCTCCTCAGCCAAGGCAGTACGTCTAGAATGAAAAGTACAAACACAATCAAGCCAATAAACAAGCAATGTTCCATATACTGAATTTAAATTAAATACTTACACTTGACTTTGTTTCTCGTATTCATTTCGAACTTCATGCACATGCACCATAACTTCAAGTTCATGATCCAGCCAACGATGCAAGGACTTTTCATTTAACTAAAGGAATAGTTTATTATCATAATATTCTAACTAAGTTTTTACTGAGGATCACACAAAGTAAAAAAAAAATTATCATAGATCATGTACCTGACCACCTGGTAAATGACCATTTGAAATAACTGGAAAAAGGAAAAAAAAAAATTGAATCAGGACCATTGCAGGATTAAATGCAGTTTTCAATTTTTGAAAGCAACATACCAGAATTATCACGTGCTGAGGATTTTTGAGTTTCTAACAACTCTTTCAACTTCTTGGTAGCCATAGCAGCCTCCTCTGTCTTCCTATGAAGAACCTGTAGAAGGTTTTAGACCCAAATAAAGTACTCTACCAACTGCTCCAGTATCAAATAAAAACTCAACAGCATGATAGTATTCATAGAAATTTCCAGAGAATTTCTTTGGACATATTAAACTAATTGTTCAATATTGAATAAAAAAGATGATCATTGTTCCAATTCTGCCCCATCCTGGGACCAGTCACAAAATTAGTGACATCATGATTGGGCCAATATTGCAACTGTCTCATCAAATTTTACCCCTAACCTAGTAGGTCTAATGATCAAGTAACAATGAAGATTACCTCTACTTGAATTTACAAGTAGTA